TGCTAGATAAAAGTGATGACGAAAAATTGTTCAATAGAATTCATTTTTTTATTTTTTATTTTTTCTAGTTGTATATTTCTATATGATTTTTATTTAGTAATATCATTTTAAATCGAATTTTATGCATGTGATTTAACATTAGTCAACCGTGATTTGGCTTTAATTGGTATTGAAGATAATAATATCAATGTAATTATTCGATTTTTGTTTTGTTTTCGATATTTTCATTATATAATTTTGATTTGTTTAGAATTTTACATTTGAACCATCACTTACAATTACAATATTAGTATGAAAAGGTAAAACATATGAAGAAAAAGTTTCATAATCCATGTGGTATCTATCATGATGAATATACATTTCAATTTCAATTTCAACTTGGTAAGAAGAAATTCTAATTATCATAGATGTTTTGATTATTGTTCTTTTTTGTATTTATGAATAGGATATTTACTATATGAACATGGGTTGTGTTTTTTTTATTCTAAGTTCACATGATATAATTAAAAGTGAACGTCAAGATTATGATGATTATATTGAACTTTTAATAAATGAAAAAAAAAATTTTATGAAGTAATACAATCATTTGAAAAGTTTCCATATATGAATCAAAGACTAAAACAATATACTCGATAGGTAATATATAGAATAAACGAAAATAAAATTTATTTGATTTTATTTTTTATTGTTTAAGATGATCTATCGAACATATGTCAAATATTGAATTCATGCTCATGAAATTAAAAAACCTGCTCAATTATTTCTATCTATTTATACAATAACACAAGAATGAGAAGATCAACTTCTTGTATTTATTTAACAAAATCATCCTAAGGTAAGTAAAAACAAAATGAATAAAAGAGAACAAACTAAAAGCAATGATTATTCTTTTATTTAGATAATAACACATTTATATTCGAATAAGTAAATATCAACTTGATATATCTATTTATGAAAAATTACTAACAATATATTTTATGCAGACAAAATATGAAGTAAGTCAGAAAAAAGAACAAGTTTTATTTTTTGAATTCAATAGGATTTTCATAGAAATCAAACAAATTATTAAACAAATGACCATCAAATATTTATAATTTAAATTATATTGAACAATTAGTTCGTTTACAAACTAACGATGAACAAAAATTAAAACTTCTACTTGAATGTTCAGTAGCTATTTAAAAAAAAGTTCCTTTTTCGTTTTTTTTTATTTCGTTAATAATATTCATGGTGTCTTTTTTTTTATTTTCCAGAGTGGAAAAACAAGGAAATGTAATGAAAAAATTGAATATTTATCTAGAGTAAATTTAGATCAATATGTTTACATGAATGATTCAATATGTTTGCTTTTGTTTTTTAGAATGAACGATCCACAAATATTTCAATTAATCGTAAACAACTTCATCGAGATATTTTACCTAATATTGAAAAACTTAGATTAATTTGACAAAGAAGTATGTTTGATAAACTTAAATTTAGAAAAAAAAACATAAGAATAACAATAATTTCAAACATGAGGATGAGAATACATGAGTTACATTTGATTATTATAAAACTAATAGAATAAAAGCTCTTATATTTAAGTTAAAGTCTTGCTTAGATTTGACTTTTCGAATTCGATCTAAAAACTTAGTATAATTTATTTATGTTCGATAAAACATTAATAACAGTCTCTAGATCTGATGATTTCTATAATGATATGTCATTTTTGTAAGATATAAGTAAGAAATGAAGAAAACAAAGTAGAACTCTCTTTTGCGAGCATGTCTAACAGAAAACTATAGAGTTGTGAATAACCTTTTGCTTGAAAAATAGTCAAGTTCAAACGCCAAAAGATATAAAACGGAAATTCTTTACCAAATGACAGCCGGTCAATAGCAGTATTTAACAGTAGAATTCGTCGTTCATAAGACTAGGATGATTCATAGAATTCGAATGATTTATAGAATTAGGAAAAGTTTCAAAATTTTAAGGATATAGCTGGACATTTTCATGGACAGCCAACTACAACATATGAAGCTATCAGAATTGCGTTATCTACGT